CTGGTGGCGTCCGGTAGGCCCTGAAATGGCCAAAAAATACCGGGGGCATTTTTTGGGGGCGGCCTAGGACCCAAAAAACGTCCTAGGCCCCCCCCAAAAAAAATTCGAAATTTTCAAAATTGGGCCCAATCCAGACCTACCGGACCAGACACCGGACCCATACCCAGACAACCGGACCGTCTGGATTCCGGTCCAGACGTCCGGCCGGTTGCCATGGTTCAAACACATGGAGGGAAATGGTTAATTTATTTTCCTCTCCAGACCAACCACTTTGGAGTCCACATACCAAGTCGCACCTGATTGGTGGCTGAATGGTTCATCCACTGAGCCGTTGAGAAACTGCTCATCAATTCAAATCCCGCAGGATACAATAGAATTATGGGCTAACCCCCTTAAGGAAAGGAAAAAAGGAAAGGGGTTCAAATGCAAAGCGAACCTGTTAGCTAGTTTGTGTTAACCTTCATTGTCAGGGAATGTCCCCGAAGAGGCATCAGTCAAACAACTGTACAGCTGAGCACACAGGAAACTGTTCTGTGTTTACAAAAGTCCCATCCTTACTGAACCCTTATTTCAGCCTGTCTGACGTTTCGTTAACTGCTTTTTATCACATTTTTTAATTTTTAAGTATTTTCTAATAAAATTTTGGACCATTTCTCATAAATTTTTGGACGATTTCTCGATCTGTGCAGGGGCCATTCCAATTTAACCGATTTGTATCTGTTATTTCGAACTTATTCCTATTTTGGAAAGAATACATGACAACCACACCACCCTCAACCCACCCTTGAACACATACCAAGCCGCATAGCGAACATGGAGGCACTTTTTGATCTTCAATACAGCGATGGTAGGGAACAAGGACAAGTAGAAGACCAGGGGAAGAAAAGAGAGCAAAAGAGGAGAGGGATCATACATGCAGTTATTAAATGCAGATCCTCGCTCACACTGTTGAGCATATACCAAACCCAGAGGCACATTCTGTTCCACGATACAGTCACGGTAAGAAATATAAGGCGAAGTAGAAAAACAGGAAAAGAAGAGCGGGGCAGGAGAGAGATTTGCATTCTACTTCAGATAACCAACGGGAGGCTTTTCGCTCTTTCATAAGGAGCTGACATCTTCCCTCAAATATAACAGATCCCTCTTCCTCTTTTGCACACAACATTCCCGAGAACACTGCCTTCCAGAACTATGTCACAAATGCAAGAGTTACTTTCCCTTTTTCGGACTCGAAGCACATGTGCCGTACTCAGCTCAGACTGAGGGCATGTGTTATATAGCTTCTATCTTTCTCACCACAGGTCTGGTGTCTCAAAAATATTGTATCCAACGCCTCCATCTTGAACGGACGCTCAGTGAAAAGCCTTTTTCAAAACCTCTCTGCTCTTTGTAAACAGCAAAACAGATCATAAGGTTTCCCTACACTTCTAGTACCACATTAACACATTTTTAAGCACTGTCGCAAGGAGAAACTCCACACACCAAAAGTGAGGCCTTACTACAAACTCTAAACGTCCTCCGCGGGGTCGTTCTCCTCGACCCCAATGTTAAAAATGACGGACGGATGACCCGATGCTCCGAAGATGAACTCTAAGGGTCTTTCTCTTTAACCCAGATCCTAAAAATGATGGATGCACGGATGCTCTTAAGGGTGAACTCGAGGAGCGCTTTTCCTCGTCAACCGCAATGCTAAAAATGACGGAAAGAGAAGCACACGTACAACAACACGCTAGAAGAGAGGAAACTACGAGCTGAGAAAAGGGGTCCAGCACACTCACTAGGACCAGCACCTCACATCACGTGCAAGGGCATTCTCCTAACAGACCCTTCCTCCTGCCCTTACATGCCCCACATTTGGGACATTTGGGCACATGGTCTGGGTATGGCCTAGCATTGCACTCCTTCAGCCTCCTCAATATCTTTTTTAATACTTACAGAACATTCTTCTGCACGGAGGGTAGAAGTTCCTGACTACCCTTCATGTGCTCAATATCTTTGGGCACATGGTCTGAGTAGCAACATCCCCGGAGGGAATTCCTGACTACCCTTCTGTGTGTTCACAACATGCTCATGGCACAGCATGGCAGTGTGCCTTACTGTAAGGCACAACAAGCGCTTGGCACAGCACGACAGTGTGACTGCCTTACAGTCGTATTGGAGGCGCTTTAGAGAAGCAGGCTGAACGTCTGGAGGGGGGCAAGTGCCGCGAAGTGTCCATATGCAAACGCTGCACGCACCGAGGCGGGAAAGTGCGATGCAGTTCGCAAATGCACAACTGCAAAGCTCCAACTTCTTTTCGTTCTCAACATGCCTAATTCCGACCGTCAGAGAATTTTCGGCAAGCGTGCTTGCACAGTCAGTCTGAAAGTTCAGAACTTGCACTAGTTTCCCCAGAGCGCTGTGTAGAAGCCTTCTCTATATCCCTCAGGGGTCAAAAACGAATATTTTCCCTTTCGAAAATTTAAAAAAGGCCCCCACCAGCATGGCCCCTCAAATGCATTCTTTCCCCTCCTGGCTGTTCTACGAATCCCTTTACTTGCTTGGGTGCAACCTGGAAGAGCGCTAAAATACACGCATGTACAGATGCATTACTCGCGTATGCTTCATTGGGAACCACGCGTAAGTACCTACATCACCCTACTCTCCATGAGAAACACTCGGCAATATCTCTCTGTATTATTATTTCCGAGAACTAGTCTCCTTGAGAAGCATTTGTCTGTAAACAGCACCATTCTTCTGCTGCTAGCAAATCACTTAGTATAGATATATATAAACAGTCACATTGCTACCCTTGACAAAGTCCTAGTAAGTCTGTATACCAATCTATGGACAATAGTGCAGATGTGGGCTGCCACACCTACATCCACATGGCACAAAAAAGGAAAGAGATTTGGTCGCCCAGATTTTGCAGTGCAGCTCAGAAGAGAGAGAGAGAGAGAGAGAGAGAGAGAGAGAGAGAGAGAGAGAGAGAGAGAGAGAGAGAGAGAGAGAGAGAGAGAGAGAGAGAGAGAGANAGAGAGAGAGAGAGAGAGAGAGAGAGAGAGAGAGAGAGAGAGAGAGAGAGAGAGAGAGAGAGAGAGAGAACGAGAGAGAGAGAGAGAGAGAGAGAGAAAACTGAACGCTTACCCTGAGAAACGGCAAAAGAAGCCTAGAAGTATTGTGCAGCCAGCTCCCTGTTCACGGAACATAACTCGTGACACGTGCAAACAGAGATCTTGATGGCACGCTCAAAGCGCAAGGCCTCTTGAAGAACAAGAGACACTTCAGTCTTGGCACTCTTCGAAGGCAAACAAAAAAAAAAGAGAGAGACGCAAGACCACGGTGTTTCCGAGCACACATCTCATATAGCCCTTTCACACCAAGGTCCCTCCTCCATCCAAAGAAATAAGACGCTCACAAAGGTCCCTCCTCCATCCAAAGAAATAAGACGCTCACAAAGCATGTCTTCCTCTGCATTCTGAGACAACCACCAAAGGAGGGATGGGGGGGGGGGGTGTAGAAGTTCACCTGAGCTCGAACCAGTACTAAGCATAGCCCAGAGTGGCTACCTACGGGTCAAGCTTCAAAACGAAAAAATCATGGACGCGGACAAGATTGACCATCTTCACTGGATCTGGGTGCTCATACACTGTGAACGACGAATCAGTGCTGTGCTGAATACGTATTGTCCACCGCTCGACAGTCATAACAGCAAAACAAACAAGCCTGTAATCAGGCGGGTTGCCATTCTCCATGCTGGTATACATCTCGTCATCGGTTACGTCTTTCAAATCTGCAATCGTCTTCATGCTTGTGATCACAGAACTCCGATAGTCCTTGCACTGGACGTCCGGGTTTGGATCACAACCATACTTTGCACGGTGCAGACATTGCCATAGGCTGCTCGGCTTTGCAATGGCAAACTCATCTGGAATGAAGTATGCAGGGGCTACAAGCAGTTCAAGATTCACCGGCTGCAGTTCTTCAGTGAATTCTGCAGCATACAACTTATTCCATTCAACAGCGTTGAACAAGGGGTCGAAGAGTGCTTTCAGGGGTGGATGGAGTGCGTCCAAATCGAAGTCCTGTTTAGGCACGAGTCCGCATACGCGGAAGCTGTTCACTACTTCATCAGCTTTCCTCAACTTCACCCACTCAGCAACCCAAGCTGTTATCATCTCGTAGGATGGAAACTTGGGGCTCCCTGCCATTGTCTGCGGCGATACGTAAGCATCGTGCATCTTGGTGTAGTATTGTAGAAAACCACTGTTGATAGCAACATCAAGTGGTTGCAGGATGCGCTTCATGTTTGGTGGCACAACCAAGACATGAATATTCATGCCCTTCAGGCAGTCATTCTCTGTGAGCTTGCTGTGCGGCCCGTTACTGTCAATAATCAAAAGAACAGGTTGACGTTCCAACGCAGTTTCCGGGCGCCAACCGATCGTGTCGCTGATGTACCTCAGCATAATGTCCTCGCTACACATCCCTGATTCATTGATGTCCACCAAAACCCCTCCGTCCACCCCCGGCTTGGTCTTGAGATGGGAGAACAGCATGTGAGGTCTCAGCATCTTCCCACTCAGGGAGATAGTGAAGGTTATCGTGAATCGTTTATGGCACGCACCCGATTTGCGAAGAAGCGGATGCCGGCTGCCACGCTTGGTTCGCATGGAAGCCGGCTCCAGCTCAAAGTGCCGAGGCACTTGACCCATATTAAAGATGTTATTCGCCTCGATCTTCAGAGTCTCGACCATCGAATGAAACTTCTGAATGAATGATCTGGATGTTTCACTTGCACCCTCAGGTACAGATTGAGTTGTCAATTCACACCTGGAGACGTAATCATTCCTCCTCTTGAATCGTGTCAGCCAACCTGTCGATGCAGAGAACTTGCTGTCCCCCTCTTCCTTGTTGCTTGCTCCTGCCACCACCTCCCCTTGAGACTCTCGTTGCTTATACAGTAGCCTTGCCTTTGCTTGAATGTACCGGTCGTGAACACTGAGTCCCTTCTTGTTTTTCTCAACAATCCATTCAGCCAACTCTTTCTCTAAGTCTTCATGCAATGGTTTTCTACCACCGCCGCAAAGGCGCCACTGGTTCCGACTCAGCTTCCGTGGGTCATTCAAAGCCGCCTCCAGTTTCTCTCTCTGATGGACCCATTGTCGTAGGGTGGTCTCATCAACACCATACCTCTTAGAAAGAGCAGCGATTCCGTGCCCGGCAACCCCCTTCTGGTACAAGCGGATGATGTCGAGTTTGGTTTTGATAGAGTAGCTTTTGCGTGTTGCTCGTTCACCATTTGAAGGAGGAGCCATGTTGGGAAGCAATGACCTTTCTACTCTCCATGTATGGCCCCCGCCCCGACTCAATTGCCAATGAAGTCAAAGCGACTCCCACCCCCCACCTTGTTTCTCTCTGTCTTTGTGTTATCTGAATGTGCCTACGAGATTGAATGCCAATCCAAAGAATGATAATAGCAAAAAAAAGTTACAATCAGAAAGACAATAATGACGACGTCAGTTTTGCTTTCAAGTCAGCCACCAGCGCATCAAGCTACCACTCGCCTACCTTGTGGGGATCACACACAAACACAACTGTCTTTCAACTGTGTAAACGCTCTTTCATCCTTAGACTGGGTATCCCGTGTGCAACAGCGAGCAAACTCTTTTTGTCCCTTTCATCTTTTTCCCTCTTTTTCCTTTGCGATGAAAAGGACCAATCTTTTCACTTCGTAGTAATCACCAGAATTTGAACCCCTGACCTCTTGACCACCACAATGCATGGATGCCACCATATGGCCAGCAAAGGTCAGCCCCATATGACCACACACCAAAAGAGGTCTGCCTGGTGCATGAATGCAGGCATTGACCTGCTTTCTTTGTCAGACTGTGGCCCTGGATGTGAACACAGCAACTCAATAAGTGTTTCATTTTCACCCTCGTACAGTGGGGAGCAAGCAAATACACTTCCGCATAGTCGGTGCATTGGCTTTACGCATTTCTGCCATTGACCATCATGATAAAGACGGCAGTGAATGTCCTTTGACTGCCACCCAGGCAACCACTCAGAAAGCATGAGCGTTGTCATGAAAAAGGCCAGGCTCGTGCTTTGCTATGTGTGCAGCACATGGCAAATGTTCGTTTGTGCCAGACAGCAGTAGGGCTCCCATCTGAGAGTGCAAACTTGTTTGTCACAGAGGCAAGAAGCATCGTCTTCTTTTTTTCTCCAAATGCAAAAACAAGGAAAGCGATCACGTTGCTCTGTTCAATGAACTGGCATGGAGATGCCAGCCTCGAGCGAGGTCTGTAAATGAATGGGAGAAGCATCCATCCTCTTTTCCCTTTGCTGAATTGGGGGGGGGGGGGGGGGGGGGGGCAGTCACACCACGTCCTTCAATGAGCAGCATATGAGCAGCTGGCCAATTCATGGCAGAGTTGCAGTATGTGCGGGTAAGCAGCCAACGAGGCACACGTATTCCAACAAGGGGAGAGGGGGAGGTATCTGTGCAGTGCAACCAGTCTAACTATCGTGCTTTCGAAGGTCAAGAAAAACATAGCACTATTGGGGCCTGCCCCTTACACCAAGAAACGAAGTCAAGAAGTCAAGAAAAGAGGTTACGATAAAAAAGGCAGCTAAGAAAGCCAGCGCTCTCTCACACTCTGAAACTCTGACCCAAGGACGCGCTTCACCCAAAGCTTGAGAGAAACAGGAGAAGCGAGGAGTAGACCACTTGCCCTACCATTGCCCTACACCAGCAATTCCTAACTGTGTACCTGTTTCCTCTGCCTCCTTCAAAAATAAAAAGACAAAGAATCTCTAGGCATTCAAAACAGGAAAAGGTTCAAAAACAGAAAAGCAATAGAGCATGAAGCAGCACATTGTGATTGATTGAATACTCCCTCTGATATGTTCAATAATATGAGCATAATAATACGATTCTGTTTCGCATAAGATAGCCACTTTGACTATCTCAAGACAGCACCACAATGTTTCCACGATCATTTGAAGCAACGGTGGCAGGTGAAGAGCACCAGGCAGGGACATATTATGCAGTCAAGATGAGCCATCTTATATGCTTTCAGATACGTATACTGCAACGAACCACTTATATTGACACTCCAAGCAGATGCACCATGAGAGTGTTCACACAAAATCCACACCGAAGTCCAGAGATGGAGAGACCAGATTAGCCCAGCTCATAAACTTCAATGAATGATCGAATTATACAAGCCCGAGTTCGTGTCACCAAGAGCTCATCAGTGCAGCATCATATTATACAGATTCAATGTTTGAGTCACCAACCGCTCATCAGCGCAACACTCAGCAGTCTCAATCATGTATATAACTCTCTCACATTATACAAGCCAGAGTTGTCA